GAAGCGACAGTTTTTGAGGTTCAATATCCGGTATATAGGTAGGCGTTCAAATCGGGTGGCCCATTTGGTGGCCAAGAAAGCCCTTTCCTTGTGTCCTATCAGTATTTCGGGGTTTGATTTTCGCTTTTGGGCGAGTTCGGTGCTGTAAACTTTATATCTTTTCTTGGCAATGCAAGTTATCTATTGGCAAAAAAAAAAAAATCGTTGATGGTTGTGAAAAATAATCAAATAGTGAATTTCATTAATACGCTTTGATCCGAGTAGCATGGGGCACGTGGAATCCCTTCGAGAACTTCGTGCTTGATTTGGTGCTAGTTCGACTGGACCAAAAATTGAAAGCGTTAGTTCAATTACCTATTTAGATATCTTTAGTATGAAAAAACAAATTGTTAATTCTAACTGTCCACTCGCATCCTCCGGCTCTCATTCAGATTCAGCCAATTCAAAAAAGCTCACATATGATAAACCTTCGAATATCTTTTCTGATAATTCTTTTCCTGTAAAGAAGTATATGAAAGAACCGTTGTTTTGTAATTCCTCTTCCTCATTCTGGACATACAGCAGGGGACAGGACCGTAACCCTCTTTCGTGATTTGGGCACATGGCCTCGTTCAACACTTTCAGCACTGTGGGCTTCAGAATCCTAAAAAGTTAATTGTTATCGGGTCACATTGCCCTCAATGCCTTTTAATTCATTGATTACACTTAATTTAGATTATGAGAACATCGCATTTCCATTTCTAATTACTTTATTAATTTCCATGTAGGAGGATCAATGATATACTGCTGTTGGATATAAATATATACACGAGAGGGAAAAATAATACTTACAACAAACGTGGATTATTTAATCTTATTCTTATCTTAAAATAAAAGCAAGATTGTTTAATCTTAAACATGAACCACAACCATTAATAAAATGAAATTATGATTAAAAAGATGATCACCGATGGGATTTTGATATATTATCTTATTGCCATATCATCCCCACCCACCATTAATATACTATCTACCCGTTTGTTAGACGAAAACACAAGCTGTCATGTGTCTGCAAAATGCTAATTCTTCATGTGTTGTTTGTTTTTTTGTTTTTCCGCTTTCTCGAATTTGATAAGGTATCAAAACTATGACTTGTGATATTTTATCGTATCATAATATAGTAAAAAATTGTTATAAACCGTGGATCGATTGTTTGGGTAACATTTTACCAGCTATTGATGCTTTTGTTTACTCGTTACCAATGATGGAGCAGATCTGGTGAGTAACCTTGTGGTGCTATAACATCATGCATAACCCAATAAAAATCCGCTACACATCAGCGCCTCTTTCTCTCTCCTGGAAAACCCTTTAATTTTCCTTTATTAATTTTAACGGACGATTTCTCACTCGTTTTAAGTTGGAATTTAAATTTTTTTGCACAGTTAGATCAGATTAATTGTTCTCTTCAAAATAATATCCACTTTGATATTTTTTTGAATAAAAAAAAATGTCAGTTATTACCGATCTATACCATATGGTATTGACTGGTATTAAATAACAGCATACCATATGGTATAAAAAATATCACCCCATACCAGGGTGGTATAGTATGGTTTGGAGTTGGTAACGAGAGGTATGAAATTGTTGTGGATTAAATATCACCCTGCAATAAGGTTAGCTGGTTTAAATTGTTGTGGGTATGCTCTTATTTGAATACCAGTCACTACCATATGGTATAGAGTGGTAAAAAATGGCTCAATTTTATTTGCTCCAGAAATATATCAAAGTGGATATCATTTTGAAGAGCACAATTAATCCGATCTAATTGTGCAAAATAAAATAAATTTCAACTTAAACGAGTGAGAAATCGTCTATTAAAGGTTAATGGGGGAAATTAAAGGTTTTTTCAGGAGAGAGAAAGGGTGCTAATGTAGCGAATTCAGATTGGGTTATGCATAGTTATTGACTAGATCCGCTCCCAATTTCTCCTATTTCAACCCATTGCTTCCCTAAACTATTTTTAATCATTCCTCATATTAAAAGGGCCATTAAATTAATCTTAACAATCTCTTTGGAAAGAGGGGTAAATGGGAGAGGTGCAAATGTGAGGGGTGAACACAGTTTCCAACACATTTGCACCTCTTTGGTTAATTTGGAACAGTATGGGTGCAAAACGGGAGTGCAAATTTACTATTTCGGCTTACCCCCAAATTGGGGTGCAAGGAAAGGAAGGAAGAGAGAGGTAGGGGGAGGCGAGAATTATGGAATTTTGTTTTTCTAATTGTGTTATATATAATTAAATAATAATTAATATTATCAATTTCTTGGCTGATAAATATCATTAATGTAGATATTATTCGGGGTTGATCGTTGACTCCGGAAACAAGTTTATCAATGTTTGTCAAGTCAAATCTAGATCTCTTGGTTGACTAGAATTTGCATTGAAAATTAGAGATACGAAGTGTTTGTTGAAAAGATAGAGAAGAATTGTTTGGTTAACTCAGTTTATTTGACTAAATAGTTAAAACTTACAAATTCGAACGTGTTTGACTAAGTTTGACAATTTAAGATTAAACTAGACACGAAAACCCTATATAGGATGACTTGTTACGAGTTGAGCTTCGAGTATTGAGATCGCTCGATCAATGATTATTACAGTTGTTATAATTAATTATTATTTGAGCATTATTATATAATATTTATTTTTACTAAAGTATATTTATTATTATATAATAATATTTATTTTATTATTTTGTGATCATATTTTATAAGTTTTAATAAATTTATTTTATAATAATATAATTACTTACTTTTCACTCTATTTGCATCCCTTATTTTTCATCCAAACAACAATTTACCCCTGCACTTACACTCTCCAGCAATTTGCACCCCGATAATTTATCCCTCAGTTTGCACCCCTGCAATTTGACCCCGACAATTTACCCCTTAGTTTGCACTCCTGCAATTTGCACTCTTGTTGCCAAATAGAGTATAAGAGTGTGATCAACGGGGAAAATCGCAAAACTCCTAACCTCGAAAATTGGAGGATCTGGATGGAATATTTCCAAACAGGTTCCGTAAGATTGAGACGACGCGTCGTTTAAGCCTTACAGCTCCGCCAAGCCAATATCACGCATATCTGTTTGCTTAAATGGAATAAAATAAATATAATTAAAATGAATATCCAGATTCAATGGCAGCCAGTGATAGGGCCACGTGTGGTCCTACTTCCGCTTCCGCCGGGTTCCCGCCTTGGAGCAGCCATCATTATTGACTCCGTAATTGACCCATGGTGGGGCCCACGGACCCCACTTCTCCACCCCGTTTTATAAGGCCTACACCCCTTTGGGCCCACCAGCCACCTCCCGACCCAAAAAATAATTATAACAAAAAAAAAAAAAAAAAGATAAGTCAGTCGTGCACCGTAGTAGAAAAGGAAAAGGAAAAGGAAAAGGAAAAGGAAGGATGGGAGGGTAAAAGCACAAGTTAGTCCTCCATACCATTATTTATTAACGATTCAGTCCTAGAATGATTGCAGTTTCGCACTTCAGACCCTTAAAAACTTGGATGATAACCATCTACTACCCATAGGAAACAATTGTTAGCAAATAATTTAATCAGTAACCTACCTGTTGTTGCTAAACTTTTGATGAATGGCTTATATAGATGCACTTCCAGCTAATATTGCTTGATATCAATACCTTTCACCTAACTCATCAAATGCCATATTGAAGAAGGCCACAAATATCTATGGGAAAAAAAGAAAAAGAGGAGTTAATTGAGTTTAAGTTTCTCGGTTCTCCATAATTGCAATGTGGTGTGTTTGTTTGAGACATATCATGCATGCTATCATTTTATGTATTGCAAACGGTGTGAAGAAGTTAAGTTTAAAGAATTTCGGTGTAGCGTGCTCTGATTTTATAAGACATTTTGAACTTTAGATTGTCGGTGTGAAAACAATTTACTTTAAATTACAGGATTATCTAGTTACTGGGGCACCTCAACGTGCCTTTTTGTTGGGTGACGTTCTCATGACTAAATATTCAATTGATGAGCCAAGAGATATGATACGCCATTACTAAGCACACATCCTATTTTACAGATAGCATGTGAACATTCAACATTTAATCCTATACTCTCTTCGGAAAATGCAGTTGATCGACATCACTTGGTATCTCTGAAAAATAAAGAAATGAAAACCAAAAGTCCATAACTTTGACTCGCCACTTTTCTTCAGTATGCTAGCATCCATAGCATGATATTGATTTATAGGTCGAATTCATATTAACATGATACTACCTATGTACATCATAATAATAGACATACAAAGAATGTCTCTTCAAATTATCAATCAATCGCGCAATTATATCACCCCTCCTCTTTACACGATTCATAGCTCATTAACTAGATGAAACAGAAGATTAGAGAATTAAATGCCGACATCTCTTTATATGGACTGGCTTCTTTCATATATTCATGGAAGACTACATTTAGAGTTTCAAAGTTTGAAATCGGTAGCCAATATCTCTCTTGTAAGGCGAATTCTCAAAAGTAAAAAAAAAAAGAAAAAATTGTTCACAGAATGTGGGGATCCTGCACGAAATACTAATATTGGGTACTGATTTGTAGTTAACCCATAGGAGAAAATATCAACAAAAAGAAAAATTAATTAGCCAAGAAAATCATGAGAGAGACAGAGAGTTGCCGGTAGTAGTGCTTTGAATGAAGGAAGAAAAAATGGTTGGAAAATAGCAACAAAAAGGTAGGCATCGCAGAGCAGTGAGAAGAAAGAAGGAAACGCGGTTTGGCCTTTTGTTGAATCTCTTCTCTTCGTTTTCTCTTCTCTGCACACCACGCCACTACTCTACTACCTTTCCTTTCCTTTCCTCTTTTCGTTCTCTTTCTTCCTTGCTTTCGATTTCTCCGGCAGAGTTCAAGCGAGACTCTGCCCCTCCAGAAATAGAAACGGAGAGAGACAGGGGCGAGAGGGGACCTTCTTCTTTCTGGGTTGTTTGCAGAAAATGAAACAGAAAGGTCTGTTTCCAATTCCAGAAGAACCCATCTTTTTCTTCTTCCTCTTTCTGCTTTGTTTTGGTATCCTCCCTCTTTCTTCCTCTGTTCCCGAGTCGTCACCGGAAAAGTCAGCCCTGCTGGACTTCAAGTCTTCGGTCTCCGATCCCCATGGAAATCTTCTCTCCGCCTGGAATCCGGAGCTCCACCACTGTGCATGGGCTGGGGTGGCTTGCAACTCCCGGTCAGAGGTCGTCTCCATCAGAATCCACGGCGGCGGCGGAAGAGGTAGCTCCGAGGATCTTTCTTGTTCCGACGCTTTCAAGTTTCCTATCCTGGGGGCCAGGCTGAAGAGGGTTTGCTCTGGTTGGGGTCGTCGTGGGAAGTTAGTCGGAAAGTTGTCGCCTTTGATTGGGAAGCTCAGTAAGCTTAGGGTTTTGTCTCTGCCTTTCAACGACCTCGGCGGCGAAATCCCTTCTGAGATTTGGGGTTTAAAAGAGCTAGAAGTGCTGGATCTGCAAGGAAACTTGTTTACCGGCGAGTACTCTGGTCAATTTGGTGTTGGGTTGACGAAACTACGAGTTTTGAATCTAGGGTTCAACAGAATCCATGGAGAAATCCCTGCTTCCATTTCCAGATTTGCTAGTTTGCAGGTTTTGAATTTAGCTGGTAACAACCTGATTGGGCGAATTCCTGAATTCGTTGGCAGTTTTCTGGAGCTCAAGGAACTCAATTTAGCTCACAATAAGCTGAATGGGACAGTTCCCTTTGAGTTAGGGTTTCATTGTGAGTTTCTAGAACATATTGATCTCTCAGGGAATCTCCTTATTGGCACTGTCCCTCCCGTTCTAGGAAACTGCCATCAGCTAAGGACACTTTCCTTGAACTCGAACCGCTTCACCGGTCAAATCCCTAGCGAATTTGGCCAGTTGAAGCGCCTGCAGGTTCTTGATCTCTCGCGGAATCATTTCCCGGACACTCTGCCTACAGAACTCACTACAACCCTTCCCCATGTAAAGGTACTTTGGTCTCCAAGTGCGAATGTAGAAAGCGAGGTTCCGAGAAATGCTAGGTCTCTGGCTACAGCTGACAGCGAGGAGACCGCTTCTTCAACTTCTGCTGCAAGCCATGGATTGAGTCCAATCGAGATAGCGTCGATAGTATCAGCATCAGCAATCGTCTCGGTCCTCATAGTGCTAGTGGTCCTCTTCTTCTACATGAGAAAATGGACCCCGAATGCTAGAGTTCAAGTTTCGGAGCCCAAAGAGATCATCGAATTCGTTCCCATCGGAGTCCCTTTGCTGTACGAGGACATCGTCCAAGCAACGGGGAACTTCAACACGAGGAACTGCATTGGCAACGGAGGCTTCGGGGCCACTTACAAAGCAGAAATCGCCCCGGGCACCCTAGTCGCGGTGAAGAGGCTCTCTGTCGGGAGGTTCCAAGGTTTCCAGCAGTTCCACGCCGAGATCAAGGCACTAGGAAGGGTAAGGCACCCGCATCTCGTGACCTTAATCGGCTTCCACGCCAGCGAAACCGAGATGTTCCTCATCTACAACTACCTCCCGGGGGGCAATCTGGAAAGCTTCATCAGGGGTAGATCGGCAGCCACGGTCCAGTGGAAGATCCTCCATAAGATCGCCTTCCACATTGCTCGAGCTCTAGCCTACCTCCACGACCAATGTGCTCCGCGAATCCTCCACCGCGATGTCAAGCCCAGCAACATCCTCCTCGACGATGAGTTCAACGCCTACCTGTCCGACTTTGGGCTGGCCAGGCTGCTTGGCACGTCCGAGACGCACGCCACCACGGGCGTGGCTGGCACGTTCGGGTATGTGGCGCCTGAGTACGCGATGACATGTCGCGTCTCTGAGAAGGCGGATGTGTACAGCTACGGGGTGGTGCTGCTGGAGCTGATGTCGGACAAGAAGGCGCTGGATCCTTCGTTCTCTTCGCAGGAGAACGGGTTCAACATCGTTTCGTGGGCTTCGTTGCTTCTGAGGCACGGTAGGGCGAAGGAGGTGTTCACCGCGGGGCTGTGGGAGTCGAGCCCACACGACGATCTGGTCGAGATGCTGCACCTGGCGATCACTTGCACTGATGATACGCTGTCGACTAGGCCGACGATGAAGAGTGTTGTGCAGCGGTTGCGGCAGATCAGGCCTTCGTGACTTTGGCTCGAGTATGTGGGATGGTTATGTAGAGCTGTTGTTAGGAAGGGTGGTTTGAATACAAGTGTATATTATAGTATAGTAGTAGTGTCAGTGAGTTGTGTGGTTTCATGGTTTGGACTTTGTAATGAATGGGGTCTTTGGTGTCGAGCGTTGGGAGTTTTGGGTACAATAGCCGGATTGAGTGGGAACTATAAGTTCCATCCTTGTTATTACTATTATTGTGTAGAAGAGGTAATGAAGTGTCTATCACTGTGCGTTGGATATATAAATCTTTTGCCTATCTTCTTGCTATTAGCAGTTTGGTCTCCAGGGTTGTGTTTGCCTGTTCCTTTCATTTGTGGCAATACCATACCTGCCTATTTACCCCCAGTTTTTTTGCAAGGGAAAAGGACGGCAAGGAAAGGGAAAGGGGGAGAGTGCGGGTTCCAATAAACTTTCCCCCGTTTCCCAAACGTTAAACAGTAGCTAGGTGAGGGAAAAGAGAGGGGCCGGACACTATATCAACAATCCCTCCAAATTGGAGGGAAAGAAGAGAGAAGAAGAAAAGGTTGGCCCTTTTTATTTTTCTTTTTTGTTATCTCTCTCCTGCATCATCTCTCTCCTCCACCATCTTCACAATTCACAACCCATCAAAATAATATAAAAATATAATCAAATTATTTAATTCTTACATACCCAATAAAATAATATATCCATTATAATTTCCAATACACATTTTCCTTCCCACTTTCCTCCATAAAACATCATTTTCTTTCCAATTTCCTTAAACCTCCTAATCATCCCTCCCCTCCTAATTCTCTTCCCCTCCCCTCCATTTTCCTCCCTTCCTTCGGAAACATAGGGTTAGGGATATGATAACCTGAGGGATCCATGTACATAAGGTCACTGTCTATGAGACACCATATAGAGACGGATCGAGGCAAATACGAACAACATCATACGAACAATGTTTTTATAGTTGTAGTGGTTTCCTTCCATTTGTAGTAGTAACTCCAACGGGGTTATAGTTGTAGACTTGTAGTAATTCTTTTGGCACCTATAACTATAGGTGTCAATCGGGCGGGTTCGGGCTGGGTTCAATCGGGTTTGGGTTCAAACGGGTTGTGGGTTAGTCGGGTTGCGGGTTCATCGGGTTCGGGTTCATCGAGTTCGGGTTCAAACGGGTTGCGGGTTAGTCGGGTTGCGGGTTCATCGGGTTCGGGTTCAATCGGGTTGCGGGTTAGTCGGGTTGCGGGTTCATCGGGTTCGGGTTCAATCAGATTGCGGGCGGATCGGGTTTCGGGTCAGCGCAGCAAGTAACTTAACTCATTACTCATTACCAACTTACACATTTTATTACACTAATTTAAAATATTTTCTCAACTTTTTAACCAATTTATTTCTACCTCGTATATATATACTTTTTTTTAAAAAACTAGTAAAAATGTTAAATCAATTTGTATGACTTGCTAACTTGTTATGTAATTAATCATGATTGGTAAAGTATTATAGCTAATAGTAATGGTGATATCAATATTTGCAACCAAAAGACACCATTAATTATTTATTTGATATTTTAGTATTAATTTAGTAGTAATTGGATTAAAGTATCTAGTTTAGTATAACCATGCAAATCTGGTATTTGGCGTGTGGTATTTGGCAAAAGCAGAGTGATAAAAGGAGTTATTTCGAAATAACTTCAGTAAACTGTTGCCAAACGAGTTATTTGTAAAATTGTTCGAATTATCCTAAAAATTGAAACCATTAAAGATTAGCTATCAAATTTAGTAAAATTATTGTGACTTCAATCATAACTTACTCAATAGCATATATCCTATACACTTGGTCTTACCCTCAATCAACAATATTAAGTTAGTATATGTTGTTGATTGTATACCCTAAACCATCAATACATTATACACTAACCACATAACCTATACCCTAACCATATGTCCTTGAGTTGTGATTTTGCTAGTATAGTTAATTTAAAAGTAAAATTCATACTTTTATTTTCAAAACATAGATAAAAAGTGATATTTGCTAATTGTTATACCCTAACCATATATCCTATACTTCACCACATACCTTGTACCCTAACCACGTACCATAAACATAAATTAAAAAGAGATCTCCTGCCGTTAAAGACTTCAAATGACTTCAAGTGAACATATGTTAATAAAAAAACTTAGAACCGTCAAAACCATCAATATCTTATACCCTAACCATATACACCCTAAACCATATGTACCTTATACCTTATACCTTATACTCTAACCATATACCTTCAAAGCATATATGATTAATTTTAACTAGTCATGCCCTCCATATAAAAGTTAAAGATTCATATTTCAAAAGCTAAAATTATGAAAACCCAAAAAATTGAAAACACCAAATATGTTTCCTTCTTTCTTTCACAAAAATACTAAAATTTCCCTCCTTCTTTCTCCTTCCATACATTAGGAGAACTCAATTTTCCCTCCTCTTTCTCTTCCACAAAATTGAAAGAACCAAATTACCCTCTTCTTTCCTTCTACAAAAAGTTGAAAACTCAAAACTTTCTCACTTCTTTCTCTTCCCACATATCAAAATGATAACGATGTAATTGCATGATTTTATACCCCTATTTCTTATCCATTTGCGGAGCATAGTTGTGTGTTTTGGCCTATTTTACGCCGGGTTGTGCTACTTTGTCCTATTTCAGGTCCCAGGCGTCGAAGGGAAGGCCAAGCGCGAGTTTTGGAGCATTTGGAAGTCGTTTGGTCGAGCCAGGACCAAAACACGGGCATGAGGCCTCAGGAACACGGCCGTGTTCCTGGCCGTGCTTTTACTGCCGAGGCTCTCCAAGTGTGTGCTACACCAGCTACAAAACACGGGCGGGATTGATCAAAACACGGCCGTGTCCACCCTAGAACACGCCCGTGTTTTCCCCAGGTCGTGCCCGTGTATTTACCACGTGGCAGAGGGCACGGGCGGGCTGGATCAGAACACGGCCGTGTCCTCGACCGTGTTCTGGCCTGTGATGCCCTTTTAGGCAGATTTCAGCCAAAAAGAGGGGGGGTTCGAGTTTTAGAGAGACAGAGCGATTCCTAGAGAGAGAAAGCGACGAACAAGAGTCTCCAAGTGCCCTAGCTTGATCTTCATCACCATTGGAGCTTGGCTTGAGCTTGGAGGAGTGTCGATCAACGTCCAGGAGCAGAAATCCATCCTTCATAGTATGATTTCCGCGTCTGAATCTGCTTTTGCTTCTTTCTCCATGGAGTAGTTCTCCCATTCATCTGGGTGTGGGAAACCCTAGATCTGTATGTTAGGTTTGATTGTATGAACCCAAGTACTGTTTCTATGATTTGATTATATTCGATTGAGGTTTGAATGATTGAATGGCATGAATCCTGATCAAATTCCTGTTGTTTCTGCTTTAACCTAGAATGATAATATCTGCCTAGGTTGATAGAGTATCCTTAATTGAAGGTAGTGAATTGGTGACTTTAGTCGAGGAGCCAATTCACTATCTGCACCGAATTCAATTCGGTAGTGGAGGTTTGGTTCGTTAGGGCCTCAATCTGTTTACTCCGGTGGAGGTTAGTCGCCCGCTAGACTCGGATTGAGAGGGTCTGAAGACCTTTAGTCGAGACTTCAGACTGTTTTAGAATCTTCCGCAGTATAACTATCATAGAAATTGAACTTGGTAATTGCAATCCGGCTTAACTGCAGACTAGGGGGAACCATATCCGGGTGACCTCTCTTAACCTGAAAACAACCGTTTAGTTGCTTTGCTTGCTTGTTAGCTTAGACCTTCACTAAAGTTTCATTGCTAGATAATACGAATTCACAGAGTAGTCATCACATCTAGGACCCGGGTTGACATTAAAACCCAAACCCGCTATACTACGCTTTAGGAAGTGGTTTCACATTTTCTAGAGTGACAGTGGGAGTGAGTCAAGTTTTTGGCGCCGTTGCCGGGGACGGCTAGGTTGTTGAAGAAAAGTGATTTCTGTTACTTTAGCATTTTCATTTTCGCATTGAGTGTTTGTTCTTTCCCACTTGTGCCTTCACGGGTTTGCATTGCTTGATTGTGTGCAGATAGTGCATGACCCGTAGCCAGGCGGGAGGTTTACTGCCGTTGGATCCAGAGATTGAACGCACCTGCAACCAACTTCGGAGACAACAGCGAGCTAGACTGGCTACGGTGGAGCACAGAGACGGCCAATTGAGCAGCGAATTCGAGGACGAGTACGAGATGGAAGGCGAAGACATCCCACAACCGGGGAATGCTCGACAGGCTCCCCCGGTGAATCAGCATCCACCACCACCGCCGGGTCCCACCTTGGAGTACTACTACACTCCACGGATTGATGACATCCGCCCGGTCATCCTCTATCCGCCCATCCCAGCGAACAACCTCGAGATCAAGCCATGCTGGATTCAACTCATTACACCATCTATCCAGTTCCATGGTTTGAAGGATGAGGAGGCCCGGGCACATCTTTCCCGTTTTCTGCAGCTGACGAACGGGTTCAAGCTGAACGGTGTTCCGGATGACGCAATCCGCCTTCACCTCTTCCCCCATTCTCTGGCTGGGAATGCTAAGAGGTGGTTGGAGAATACACGCTTTAGGAAGTGGTTTCACCTCTTCCCCCTTCACCTGTTCCGGATGACCCAAACCCGCTATACTACGCTTTAGGAAGTGGTTTCACTTGGCCATTTTCTAGAGTGACAGTAGGAGTGAGTCACAAAACCACCAAAATTCCCACTTGTTTCTTTTTAAAAAAATTCAAAGAACCAAATTTCCCTCTTCTTTCTCTTCCCAAAAACTTGAATACACCAAAATTTCCCTCTTCTTTTTAAAAACATCAAATTACCAAATACATTACTTTACTTTATATTTAAATGATAATTTTATTGAATAGTTAAATTAACTAAAATTTTAATTTATATATTATATTAATATTGTCATGATCTCAAGTGACCTTCATGTTTCAATTTTTGTAATTTTCTTAAAATACGTAATATCAAGTGAGTTTCATATTTTTTAAATTTCCTATACGAAATGAAAAAATAATTTTACTTAAGTTTAGAATGAAAAACTATGTATTGTATATTTTTATAATTATTCAAGTGGATTAGATGAAATTCGGGTTGACTCGGTCGGGTTACGGGTTAGTCGGGTTCGGGTTAATCGGGTTGCGGGTCAGTCGGGTTGCGGGTCAATCGGGTTGCGGGTTAATCGGGTTGCGGGTCAGTCGGGTTGCGGGTTAGTTGGGTTGCGGGTCAATCGGGTTGCGGGTCGGGCGGGTTACGGGTTGTTGACTTTTAGTCAATTCGGGTTGCGGTCGGGTTCCGGGTCAGATTTATCGGGCGGGTTAATCGGGTCGGGCTATGTTTTGACACCTATACCTATAACTATAGGTGTCAATGGGGCGGGTTCGGGCTAGGTTCAATCGGGTTGCGGGTTATTCGGGTTTCAGATTCATCTGGTTGCGGGTTCATCAGGTTCGGGTTCAAACGAGTTGCAGGTTAGTCGGGTTGTGGGTTCATCGACTTTTAGGTCGGGCAGGTTGCGGGCTAATCGGGTTGCAGGTTCTTCGGGTTAGCGCATCGAGTAACTTACTACTTACTCGTTACCAACTTACACATTTTATTGCACTAATTTAAAATAATTTTCTCAATTTTCAACCAATTTCTTTCTACCTCGTATATATACTTAATTTAAAATAAAATAAAAACTAGTAAAAATGTTGAATCAATTTGTATGACTTGCAAACTAGTCAAACTTGTTGAATCAATATGTAATTAATCGTAATTAGTAAAGTACGCTAGCTAAGTGGTCGTTTGGATGAGTTTTTTGGTTGTGTGGTATTTGTAAGTTGAAATAACCCAGTTATTAGATGTGTGGTATTTCAGTACTATTTAAAAATTTTGAGGACTCAATTGTCTTGTTTGGATGCTTGTAAAAGATGAGTTATTTGGTATGTGGTATTTCTAACTAAAACTATTAAAGTACCATTATGCCCTTTATTCTTTGATGGCCATGTATATATTTAAAATATCAATAAAAGTCCCCCACCCAACCATGTATTGTCGAACAGAACACCATCCTTTTTTTGGTAAAAAACAGAACTCCTTCCTCTCCCTTCTTTACCATTATCACCCCTTGTATTGTCATTAAACAACTCCATTCGAATTAAAACCAGCAGCCCATAAGATAGCTTCTTAATGATAAAAACTAGCTTGATTTCACTACCATAACTTGCACATATTCTGCAGAAAAGTCCAACAACACATAGGCTCCACACTTGAGGTTAAAACCAGCATATACTGTAATACGTTAGGCAAATCCCACATCAACAAAGCACGGGAGAGATCCATGGTTCATAAGTAAGAAACCGACCTTAACTGACAAGACGCGTTTTGGGGTGTAATGGAGAAGTTCTTGTGAGAACTCCGAAGTTAAACGTGCTCAATGCGGAGTACAAAAGGATGGGTGACCTTATGGGAAGTCACCTTGAATTTCACCCCAAGTCGAAAAACCGTGAGGGTTGAGGCCCAAAGCGGACAATATCTTTGTCGGGAAAATGTTCGGGATGTTATAAGTAGTATCAGAGCCTCTCCGCGTCCCTCTTAAACGATGGTGGGGCAAATCTCAACGAGGACGTTGAGTCCGGGGGGGGGGGGTGTATGTAACACCTTAGGCAAATCCCACATCGACAAACCGACCTTAACTGACAAGACGCGTTTTGGGGTGTAATGGAGTTCTTGTGAGAACTCCGAAGTTAAACGTGCTCAATGTGGAGTACAACAAGGATGGGTGACCTTATGGGAAGTCACCTTGAATTGCACCCCATGTCGAAAAACCGTGAGGGTTGAGGACCAAAGCGGACAATATCTTTGTTGAGAAAAGGTTCGGGATGTTACATATACTTTTGTTCACCCATGGACAGTTCCTGTAATAAAATTGACAATCATGGAAGCTAGAATAACCATGTCTTAAACCACTATAACAATGCCTTTAAACATTTACACCGTTCAGTGTACTATTAAGCTGCACTAATAAAAGACATACAATTCTTTACATAAGATGGTTGTCATTCTACTACAACCATTTTCAAAAGACATATTCACTTCTGCCCAGAAGATTGTGACCTTTCTCTGTTAATTCCATCAAGCATTTAAGAAACGGACCATCGTGTGATGCATCCCAGAAGTTGTATTTAGTTTTATAAGCTTCTCCAGCATCGCCTGCAACTTTCCTTTTCCTCCCCATGCCTGAAAGCTAAACCACGTCACATATAGAGCACACCAAAATGAAGCCACAACACAGATATAACATACTAATACATAAACTTTGATTCCAATACATGCACTGTTGCGGTAGAATCATGGGTTTAAAATAAATGTCATACAAATAAGTCCAACATAAGGATGCCTTTGCCTGTCATAGTGCCTAAGTAAATGCCAAACAACCCAATACCCCTATTTGCAAGGAGAAGAAATAATCCTCCCATCCCTCTATATATCAACTAATTATAAGATGTATTGGTAATGGCATCTTTCTCCAGCACCTGCCCTCGGCACAAGAGGTAAATAAAACAACAACAAATTAATCCCTCCCACAAATGACAAATTGTTCTAATTGATGAGAGATCAAACATGTAAACAACACAAGGAGAAAAGAAGCTACGAATGGCGGACTTGCCAGCAGTTGAACCATCCCGATTCTAACCCTAAAAAATCAAAAATCAAAGATGGTAGGACTGTAGGAGAGAGATTCGAAAAAACTAACCTTGCCAGCAATTGAACCGTCGAGATACTTATCCCTTCCTTCTACAGCCCAACGTCGTCGCCACCGGAGATCGTCGCTTTCCTTTGCGCGAAGTTCAACAGCAGCTGGAGATAAAAGCCAGAACAAGAAAATGGAAGAAGGAAAATGCATGAAGAAGAGAGAAGAAGGAAGAAAAAGGGGACATCTCGATTGCTGTTATGTGGGTGGGGCTAGAGACACGACGCAAAGAGAAAAGGGGCAATACGAGTTAGTTGTAAATAACAACCTCTCCCCCTGTTATTTCAATTACCACGTTTATGCGGTTTGTAATTAACCTGTACCCAAATACCACAGTCCACTAAAACATTGTCAAACAAGTTTTTTAGCCCAAATAACTCATTATGGATTATGAGAGGTACTAATTAACGCCCTAATTTTTTAAATTTATCGCCCTAATTCAAACAAGTTGACGTTTTTGCCCAAAAAATCCCAATCTGTAACTAATTCACAAAAAACGCCGCCCGAATCCTTTGTACTGCACTGCCGTCGCCCTAACCTAATTTCACTATGCTCAGCCGTCAGCCGCTGGAGGAGACATCCCGTCGTCGACGTACGCCCCGAGTTTCTTCCCCCGTCGTCGCCGTTCGCCTGGAAGTCCTCGTCCGTCGCCGCCGCAACTGCCCATTGCTCCCACGTCGCCCGTCGCTGGAAGTCCTCGCCCGTGACCATGGCTCTGCTTTGGCCGATCGAGGATGCTTCCGCTACGCCGCCATTCCTTCCCCTGTGCCGATCGAGGACGCGGAAGGGAGAAAAGAATCCCTCGCCCGGCCATGCCTGCTCAGTGCGCCGATTGGGTTGCCAATGGTATATGCTGTCGAGCGCCGGTGAGGAGAAAGAAGGAATTGCAGCGCCGGGGGTGGTTGCATAATCGGCGGCTTTGGGGAACCTGATTTAGGGATTAGGGCGTACATTTTGGAAATTCGGCAGACCGGGGTAGAATTGTCCATTTGTTAATTTAGGGCGACAAAATTTAAAAATTTAGGGCGTCAAATAGGATTTCAGTGGATTATTTGGGTCCAAATAACTCATCCAATAAATACATCCAAATGACCCCTAATAGTAATGATGACATAAACATTTGAAACCAAAAGACACCATTAATGGTTTATTTGATGTTTTAGTATTATTTCAGTATTAATTGGTTAAGTATCTCATTTAGTATAACCATGCAAATCTGGTATTTGACAAAAGCAGAGTGGTAAAAGGAGTTATTTCGAAATAACTCATTGCCAAAATAACTTCATTGAACTATTGCCCAACGAGTTATTTGTAAAATTGTTCGAATTACCCTAAAATTGAATCATTAAAGATTAAATATCAAATTTAGTAAATTTGTTGTGACTTCAATCACAACTGACTCAATAACATATATCCTGTACACTTAACCTTACCCTCAATCGCCAATATTAAGTTAGTATATGTTGTTGATCGTATACCCTAAACCAATACATTATACACTAATCACATACCCTATACCCTAACCATATATACTTATGAGTTGTGATTTTGCTAGTATAGTTAATCTAAAAAAGTGAAATTCATACTTTGATTTTCAAAACATAGATAAAAAGCAAACCCAAACTAGGGTTGTTAATGAGTTGAGTCGAGTCGAGCTTTGCCTTGTTCATGTTCGGCTCGTTTATAAACGAACCAAGCTCGAGTTCGTTTATATCGTTTATAAACGAGCCGAGTTGAGTCAAACACGAGCGATGTCATTTATTAAATCTTGACACATCATTAAGATTGAAAGTTCGGCTCGAGCTCAACTCTAAGATCATTTATAATATAAATACTCTAATATTTATATGTCATATGTGATACATATGATTACCTAATGGCATGTCATGTATGAGACGTATTTGCTTACATATACTCAATTTATTAAACACCATATGAGGTGATATATACAATTTAATAATTATATGCATCATTAACAAACCAACTCATAAAATATAGATTGATTTTCTCAAAAGTTGTAGTCGAGTTGGCTCTCTAGCCACAATGTTGGGACATCTCATAAGCTCAAAACGAGACAGTTCATGAGTTGTATTCAACGAGCCACCTAATAGAAGCTAGTTCACGAGCTTCACAAGCCGAACAAGGTAGAGTTCAAGCTCGACTCGTTTATTAACGAGCCGAGCTTTTTTTTAGTCGAACGAGCTTTTATCGAGTTCAAGACCGAATCGCTCACGAATAGCTCGACTCATTAACAGCCCTAACCCTAACCATATATGCTATACTCTACACCATATACCCTATACCTTAACCACGTGCAATAAATGTAGACGTAGAGAAAACATGTAGACAAATTTAGTTAATTTTTCTAAAACAAATGATTGTTGTAAATAATGGTTAATTTAATTATTAGACTATAAAAATTATATATATATATATATATATATCCAAAGCATATAAGATTAAATTTAATTAGTCATGCCCTCCATATAAAAATTAAAGATTCATATTTTAAAGGCTAAAATTTTGAAAAATTAAAAAGTTGAAAACACCAAATTTGTTTCCTTCTTTCTTTTCAAAAGAAAAAAAAAACAATTTAGAAAAATTCCTTTCCTTCTTTCTCATTCTATAAATTAGAAACACTCAATTTTCCTTCCTCTTTCTCTTTCATAAAATTGAAATAACCAAATTGCCCCCTCTTACTTTTCCATAAATTAGAAACACTAAATTTTCCATCCTCTTTCTCTTTTTTAAAATTGAAGAACCAAATTTTCCTCTTCCCTCCTTCCACAAAAGTTGGAAACTCAAAATTTTCCTCCTTATTTCTCTTTCATAATCAAAAGAACCAAACTTTCCCACTTTTTTTCACACAAATCAAAACCACCAAAACTCCCCCTTGTTTTTTTTTTCCAAAAATTCAAAGAACTAAATTTTCCTCTTCTTTCTCTTCCCAAAAAGTTGAATACACCAAAAATTTCTTCTTTTAAAAGCATCAAATTACCAAATACATTACTTTACTTTATTTGTATCTAATTGATAACTTTCTTGAATAGTTAAATTAACCAAAATTTTAATTTATATATTAAATTAATATTATTCATGATCTCAATTATTAATCTTCATTATTAATATTGACATTGTGATGATTTTATATTTTATATATACTTTTTTAATTTTGTTAAATAACTTCGTATTCAAGTGATCTTCATCATGTTTCAATTTTTGTAATTTACTTAAAAATTAAAATACATAATATCAAGTGAGTTTCATATTTTTTAAATTCCCATTACAAAATGAAAAAATAAGTTTGCCTAAGTTTAGAATGAAAAAATATATTTAAAAAAAAAACTATGTATTATATAATATAATAATTATTCAAGTGAAGGCCATTGCCTACTTTGTCCAGTAGGCATTGAGAACAAGGATCATCTCTTCATCTCTCGCAATGCTCCTCGTGTCCTTTGGAAGGGAGAACAGATGCAGAGATACTCTATAACTAGGGTATGTGACTCTATTCGAATTCATGAACAGGAAGTGCCTTGGTGGAAACTTGTCTGGGCTAAGGAGAATGTTCCAAAACATGGGTTTATACTCTGGTTAGCTTTGCGTGATAATCTAGTCACTCGGGACAAGATTTTATTATGGGGTAAACCAGTGACAGGCCATTGCCTGCTTTGTCCATGAGGCATTGAGAACAGGGATCATCTCTTGGTTTCTTGTCCTTATACAGGTTGGGTGGTGAAGCAATGTTTTAAGAGTCTGTCTCCTCCTACTGAAGGGGATTGGGATAGTTTGGTTGCTTGGTGTGTGCAGCGTTGGCAGGGGAAGAGGCCAAGACAGGGTTTATGCTGGTTGGTTTGGAGCTCGATAGCCAGCCATGTCTGGCGGGAGCGCTGTACCTGTTTGTATGGAGCAAAGCCAATTAAAAGCCCACAGGAGTTAGTGAAAGTGATATATACAGAAGTTTTGTATCGTGTTTCTGGGGATTCTGCTCTCCAGACTGAGTTAGATCATATAGAAAGCCTATAGTTTATATATTCATAGGGTGGTAACTTTTTGTTTGCTTGTTGTAAAGGTTTGAGAGGCTCATCAGGTTTTTATTATGATGTTAGCCAGTGCTTAATGAAATTTTTTTGATTTCGCATCAAAATAATAATAATTATTATTATTATTCAAGTGGTTTAGGTGAAGTTCGGGTTGAGTCGGTCGGGTTACGGGTTATTCGGGTTCGGGTCAATTGGGCTCGGGTTAATCGGGTTGCGGGTTTAATCAGGTTTTGGGTCAATCGGGTTGCGGGGTTGGTCGGGTTGTGGGTGGGACGGGTTACAGATTGTTGACTTTTATTCAATTCGGGTTGCGGGTCGGATTGATCGGGCGGATTAGTCGGGACGGGAACTATAGGACTCATGGTTAGCATCCGGTCTTGCATATGGATGGCAATGATGGGGATTTTGGGATGGGTTTCCTAAACCATCCCCATCCCCATACTCAAACAAATACCCTCGATGTTTCGGGTACTCGTGGGTATTACCCTCCCTGTATATCCAATATACTAATATTAGAATTCAATGTGTTGATCTTCAGTTATAACACTTACTGAACTGAATATATCGTGAAATCAACAAAGCTACAAACATTCTTATTACGAAATAAAAGCATCAAATTCTAAAACACCATTAATCCATGAGAAAAGGTACAATATTATTCAAATCGTTCATCTTAGACTAGGGGTGGCTATACGGTCCGGTCCGGTTAAATTGGCCCAAATTGATCCGGTCCATTCCGGTTTTTTTGAAAATATAAGGACCAAAGATTGGATTGGAAACAGTCCGGTCTTCATCCGGTCCGGTCTTGACCCGGTCCGGTCCCAATTCGGTCTTGATTTTATATTGAGATTGTGGGAATTTGAGTGGCCTAAGGCCTAAAAGGGTGAGGAGTTGGTTAAGTTTTGTACTAAGTGCAAAGGTTTGTGACCGTTTATGCAAATTACCCTTAAGTTTTGGGTGTTAAGCTCTCTTATCCAGTCTTTATCCGGATTTTTTACCTCAAATCTAAGCCCAAAGATTGGAATGGAATGTTTACTATCCGGTCCCGGTCCGGTCTCGGTCCGGGTTATACGGTCCGATTTCCGGTTTTTCATCCGGTCCCGGTCCAAATAGCCAGCCCTATCTTAGACACATGTACTAAACAATAAATAACTAATATAATCTTATTAATAAGGGTGAAAGAAGTGAAACAGTGAAGTGTGAAGGGAGAAAAAGAAAATAGTGTTTGGTTTGAATGTCCATTCAATTACATCGCAGTTTTTTTTTACAAAAAATTACCCTTCTTGTCATTGAAAGATAGATGAAACTATGAATCCTACATTTTCCATATATGAAAATTAGATAATGCTTACAGGGCGAGAGTCTGGGGAATGGATCAGGTCAGTAACCTTATAGTGAGTAACCATGAGTAACCCGTCCACATCAGTATGACATCAGCATCCTCTCTCTCATAGAAAGCCTTTAATTTTTCCCTCTTTAATCTTTGAAGGACGATTTCTCGCTCATTTTAAGTTGAAATTTAATTTTTTTTGCACAGTTAGATCAGATTAATTATGCTCTTCAAAATGATATCCACTTTAATATATTTTTCGAACAAAAAAAATTGAGCCATTTTTTACCAGCCTATACCATATGGTATTGACTGGTATTGAAATAAAAGCATACCTATGTTTTGAAAAATGTACCATGGTGGTATGAACAAATCAAACTGTAGGATGGTTGAATACATGATAGTAGAAGTATATTAATTGTAATTTACGACTTTTAACATTGTATACAACACAATACCACCCCGTACCAGGGTGGTATTGTATGGTATTGTGTGGTATTTTTTGGTCCTGTAATTTGTTCACTCAGAAATTTGTAGATCCAATAGATCATGATGAACTCGTCCCTTCTGTGTAAACGTTTTCAAAAACGAATTAAAAACGAAGAAGATACCATACAATACCACCCCGTACCAGGGTGGTATTGTATGGTATTGTGTGGTATTTTTTGGTCCTATAATTTGTTCACCCAGAAATTTGTAGATCCAGTAGATCATGATGAACTCGTCCCTGCTGTGCAAACGTTTTCAAAAACGAATTAAAAACGAAGAAGATACCATATGGTATGCAGTTGGTACCGAGAGGCCATAATTTTTTTTTCCTAAAAAAATATTGAAAATTGATCTCATTTTGTAGAGCACGGTGAACTCGTTCCATCTGTGCAAAAAAAATTAAAATCCGAGTTAAAACGAAAAAGATATGAGTCAATTAAGAAAACTAGTGAAAATAAAAATAGCCTTTAATTCTCCATCCTTAGATCTGGATTTTCTAAATGAAGGGTCCAGATTTGGTTATTGATGGGTGCATAACCATGGGTTATGCACCTTATCTTGAGCCGAGAGTCTGATAACATACTCATCTCATCTCCATCAAACCTTTTGTGAATTTTACCAATATCCGCCTAATAGGCTAATACCTAATCAATACGAGGACCCATTATTGTCATTGTCATCCTGATTCCCGAACCCCTTCACATGATGGCAGTACAAAGACTAATCCAATCAGATGCACTCCAGATCACCTTTCTTCTCACGGAATCCAGTTATCGTAGAGACATCTGGACGGAACAGGTCTACTACCAACTTATCCTTTTCCTATTCGTTAAGGAATCGTTCGTAATATTTTGGGCTTAATTGCAAGTTTGGTCACTCGAATTGCTTAAAAATTTCACGTTTGCCACCCGAATTGATTTATTCCATTTATAGTCACTCGAATTGGTTGAACAGTCCAAGTATGGTCACTCTCCGTTAACCTCCGTTAACCTCCGTTAATGACGACCGTTAAATGCTGACGTGGCTAACAGAAAGACACAGTCAGCACATTTAAACATTAAAAAAAGACAACCCGACCCGACCCGACCCGCCAGCTCACCCTTACCCGCCCAGTCATCCATTCTTGCCCAAACCCACGAACCAGACCCAATTAACTGACCCTAAACCAAACTAGTGACCCAACCCCCCTGAAAACTAAATCGCAGACCCAATTAGGGCAGTTCCCTTCCTCTCCATCTTCATCCTCCCGGCCGCCTCTCTACTTTGCACAATCAGTTTCCTTTGCTTCCATGGATGGCGAGTCTCCTCTACCACTAGTCCCCTCGAATCCATTCCTGACCGATCGACGACTCTTCTTCCGCCAGTCTCTCGCGCTGAACATCGCTCGAACACAAGAACTTCATGCTATCCTCTAGTCCACTCTGGCGGCGGCAGAGTTCAAGAGTAAAAGCACGAGGTGTTTGCGAGCTTCAGCGGAGAAAGACAATCGCAGGGGATTTCTGTCCTTCTACAAGGACGAAATCAGACTCCACCAAGGCGCATCCATCATCGAGCGGAGTTTCGGCAAGCCATCTAGGGTTTCAGAATCGGCGGTCTTCGTGAACTACGCCCGATTCCACCTGGTGTCTCTCGACGAGCTGCTTCACATCCTCCGTCGCGGGAAATCGAGAAGCCGTCATCATTCCGATTTTCTTCGATGTGGATCCAATCTGATTTCAGGAAACAGATTGAGAGGAAGAAGTCGTAGCTCCGCCGAAGTCTTCCCCCGCGACGATAAGGTGCGGAGGAGATCGGAGAGATGATACTTCGACGGAAGTCGCTAATCTCCCGGATTCGCCACCGTTCACTACGGGTAATTCGATGTTGATTAACTGCGCTCAATGACCTAATTTCCCCTATCGACGAAGGGCTGACTGGGCGGGTAAGGGTGAGCTGGCGGGTCGGGTCGGGTCGGGTTGTCTTTTTTTAATGTTTAAATGTGCTGACTGTGTCTTTCTGTTAGCCACGTCAGCATTTAACGGTCGTCATTAACGGAGGTTAACGGAGGTTAACGGAGAGTGACCATACTTGAACTGTTCAACCAATTCGAGTGACTATAAATGGAATAAATCAATTCGGGTGGCAAACGTGAAATTTTTAAGCAATTTGAGTGACCAAACTTGCAATTAAGCCTAATATTCTGGGAGCAAATCATTAAGATACCCATCACGACGTTCAAGTCTTGACAGATTTTCCCATTCCATGGAAGAGTGAGGGAAACGTTACCCGTTCAAAGTCTTATGCAATGCTACCCAAGACAAGCAACCAAAGAAACGATACGCTTTCTACCAAAAAAAAAAAAAAAACGATACGCAAAGACAACTAATATCAGCTCTTGCTCATTCAACAAGTTCATCAGCCTTCCTGAAATTGGTTTCCATGGAAGAAAAAAAAAAACCAGGATAAAAACCATTTACAGAATACTCTCAATAAACAAAAAGTTCAGCCCCTTTAAGAGCTTAAATTACAAAAAAGAAAGAATGAAAAGAAACCCCTCTAATCCTCTAAAATTTGTTATTCTTACTCACTTCACCACCCCAGATCAACGGGGGCAGCTTCATACTTCATGGTGGAAACAAACCCAAGAAGGAGAGAATCAAATTTAAGAAAAGGAAGGACCTGCTGGGTTAACGACTATATGCCTAAGAGGGTGGTCGACATTCATGCCCCCGGCGTGCTTCACGAACTCTGCAGGTGACAAGAAGCTGCCATGGCAAACACACATTATCCTAACCTCCTCTCCTCTGCCGTACTTGTACAGGATGCCTTCTACTCGTCTCCCGTTCGGTCCGTCCCCTATAGTGAACACACAAGGCATGTCTTCCATGGCGCTCGTCGTCCCAGCTTCCCTACCTCTCTTGTCCCCCGAAGAAGAGGCACCGGGGCTCTTATGGTTGTTCTCGTGGTCTGGGACAGCAGCTCTGGTAGACTTTTCGATGGTTGGTTTGGGGACTGAAGAACATCCGGCCAGGTTTCGTTGATCTTGCAAGGATTGGTTGCTCATCGGGCTTCTTGATTCACTGCCTGCACTGCCTGATCCTGCAGTGCCATAGAGATGAGAAAGTGGAAGAAACAAAGGTTCCCTTTTTGGCACACAAGTCATATCATAGCATAGATTTGGTACAGCACAAAGAGAATAGGGTCATCCACCTTAAGGGCAGAATAATCAGGTCGATCTAGTAGATCGTTGAAGTTATACCAGCATCTTTTACACTTCAGCTCAAAGTAAAAACAAAGTTGTTTTGGTACGAGAGCAAGTTCTAGATTCACTTGCCAAAAGCACATGGATCATGTATGGTCTGATATTCCTAATCAGACATACTGCAACCCGACCATTCAGTAACACCTCAGTCGAATTTTTAAAAATTCTGTCTTCGTATATTCCTCATAGGAGTAAAACATTTGAGCATGAGAAACAGAATACACCAAGTAGTACCTACCTATTGCCTAGCTATAGTCTGCAAGCAGAGACAACAAACACGAAAAAATGAACAATAGTTAAGAGGAGCAGATGCCTAGTCATGAATGAACTATAGTTGATTCATTCAGGGTGTCTGAATTCTAGAACATTGGCCAGCCACAATATCAAATTAGTTGGGAATAATTAGACCCTTGTAAGTCCCAACTAGGTAGCAACGTTTTTGTACCTGGGCACTTCTAGTTCTAGTCTACAGCTAGTTCTGGCAGATTGTCCACAAAAGTGTCACAATACCAACATAGGTTACAGCAAACGTAAGACGAAGAGAAGAAGCAAATAAAAGTTTAGATGCAACAATTACAAATCCTGGACAGTAACGAAAAGCACAAGCAACCAGATGCAGTACCTATATGATACTAAGTAATAAACAGTAGCCCATTTTGAGCCACCAACATTGTGGCTACTCACCAGCAGTTCATTTCGAAGTAGAGCAATATCCTCTCGAGCCAATTCGAAACACTTTAGTTAAGGAAGCTTAGCACATCGAAAGCAGATACTCTGCCCTAGAGGAAACAGATTCAAGATCTACTTGAAAGCACTTCTTAAAACCCTAAAAATCAATTGATTTCATTTGGTCCTTCACATCACAACTCCAACGATAATTCGTCATTGTGACCAACTAGGATTCCGCCTTGGATGAGCCCCAAATCAAAGGTGCAAACTTTTTAGCCACATTGTAATGAGAAAAGAAGCAGAAGGTGCAAACTTTCGCTGTTATCCATCCATCTCTATTCTCTAGGATAGAAAAGCTTGTTGCTTCAAGTACACACAAGCACTCATCATTTCCCATCTCTATCCACCAAGTTTGAAACAAACCAGAAGCTAAGCTAACCCCGTCTATTCAACAGCATAGGGTAAATGTACCAAACCATGTCCCTTCCTCCACAATTCTCAGTACAACCATCAATCCAACAAATTCCCAAACCCACCTACCGTCCTAACTTTCCAACAACAGAGTCGAACCCTAATCCATAACAATGCAGGCAAGGCAACCCAAATATAGAAAGTTCGAAGGATTCAAAGCCCTACAAATAAGTAGCTGGAAATTATGAGAAATCCCATAATAGGAAAAAAGAACAAACCTTGAAGATTAGGCTTACTCTCCATTTCTGACATTCCAGAGGTAGAGCTATTCCCACCCTGAGATTCCACTGAACCTTGTGACCCAAATTGCAAATGATTGCCGCTGCTGCTTCTATTCAAATTCATTCCCCCTTGCCTACAAGGGGCCATCCAATTCCCTCTACTATTACTGTTAACATTCCCTAGCAATTCCTTCTTCTCTTCGTCCAGCAAACTCAATTCCCCTCCACTTCCTCCCCCCGCTACTAATCCTCTTAGACTAGGATTCGAATTCGAATTTGTAGTCGAGTTCCTCTGCTTTTCGCTCCGCCGCCTCTTGGCCTCCATCCTCCTCAAGCTCTGCATTTCCTTCCTCTTCCTCCACTCCTCCTCTGTCTCCGTCGGCAGAGACGATGTCCTCATCAGCATGGGATACGACGTAGCTGCAGGAGGCGAGCTGAATGCATCAGGCTCCGGAAGGAACGGCATGGAACTAGCTATCGACGACGATCGGATTATCTTCTTTGAAGTCTTGTCGACCCCAAATCTGCCGCCGAGCGACAGGCCCAGATTCAGCTCGATTTCCTCTGCTTCCCTCTCCGCTTCGTCATCTTCTTCCTCTTCCCTCGTTAGAGCTCTACGCTTCTGCCCGCCGTGACCGTCGCTCGACATGAATCTCGTCAGTAGATCCCTCGGGTACCGGTTTATCTCCAACGAAAGACTCTCCATTGCTCTGCTGCTGCTGCTGCTGCTGCTTCCAACGCCGGTTCTGTTCACGGCTCCTTCCGCTTCCCCCATGGGAAGTAAAGCTCTCTATCGTTTCAATTGAGGGGGGAAGAACAGAGATTGGAGAAACAGGGGGGGGAGAGAGGGGATTAGAAGATGTTGATTGAGCTAGGAGACAGAGCATGAAGCAGCAGCAGCAGCAGCAGCAGTACTATTTGATCCGATTCGCAAAAAACCCATCTCCTCCCCAGTTCAAAGCTCTCGCCTGTATAGGTATAATGGAAACAAACAAAACGAACTGGCCATTGACCTAATCGAAGAAGCCAGAGTCCCAATGGAGGGGTGAAGCCCAGAAAACAGATGAGTAAGAAAAGGGGGAAGGGGGAAAAAGAAACGTTTTTTCTGGGTCTATATCTCTCTACAGTTCAATTTTCGGCAAGAGAATTGGTGGCTTGACGAGCGGAAAAAGAACAATAGGGAGAAAGCAAACAAGAAAGAAAAACAAAAAAACTAGGAACAGAGAGAGAGAGAGAGGAATCGGCAGTGGCGGAAGAAGGGAAAAGAAGCAGAAAGGGCAGAGACGTGACAGAGGAAGTGAGAAAGAGAGAGAAGGGAAAAAGGGAAGTTTTTGTTTCTCTTTCTTCTCTTCTCTCTCTCTCTCTATTTATTATTATTATTATTATTATTAATCTGTTAATTTTCTTTTCTTTTGATGGAAAAATATGGAAAGATAAGATAATGGTAACAAAAATATTAGTAATTGATCCAAGACCATCTTTACCTCCTAATCAATTCCATCTCAACGGAAAAGAGCATTGTTGTTGTAGTCCTTTTTAGTTAGTTATTAATTGCGTTAATGGAAAAAAATTAAAACGCATTTTATAGGACTGTTTGGTGTTTAATCACTTTAAAAATTTATATACGAAATATGATTTATATTATCAACGTTGATATAGTTAGCACATACTGAACACAAACCAAATCAAACAATTTGAGCGCGCATGACGTAATCAAAATTTTGTATTAGAACTAATTGAGCAGACAATTTAAACTTGAGAAACAAAAAGGAAAATGGGAGTACCAATCAATGAAGAGAAGGGAAGGTGCAGGGGGACGAAAATGCCCCTGATCTTGTTGGATAAATAAAAAAGCGAGAGAGAGGCACCACCAAGTGGCGACCATGAGAAGCGCCAGAGTGACACGTGGGTATGCCTGACATTATTTCAGGAAGAGCAGAAAATAACTAAATAAATAAATATTAACGTTGTCTGTCTGTTTGAAGGTGTATTTATTTTATTTTTTATATTTTCTTGTTTAGAGGCACAAAAAAGATTAAAGAAAGAGCAAGTTGGAGCCGGGGCAGGCGGACACGTGTCGAGAAGCCAGGGAAGGGAAGAAGTTGGCCACGCGTCCGGCAGGCTAGCTTCTGGGAGTGTGGGAAGGATGACACGTGGAGGGCAGGGCTGAGGCCCGGTTTACGTTATTAATGCACCCGTGGGCTCCACCGAGTCTCGGAGGATAATAATTCGATTCCCTTGTGCGTGTCGTTTTGGGTGTGGGTTAGTGTACTTATGGAAGTAGTGACTCATTGGCTCTCTCATTTTTCAAATCTCTGCCACCACGAAACTGGAAAAAAGAGAGAGAGAAAAAATATGAAATCTTAGAATTTAAAAACTCCCAATGGCCAATTGGATTCCTTTCAGTACGGATTAATGCGCATAATCCAACCTAAAAACTATAACAGCAAAATAAATTACGATTTAATTGCCGTGGATTAAGTGCAGAAACTGTAACTGTAAAATAATTAGTGGGGGAAACGTAAGAAGATGCTAACGTCCACGTGTAAGCTCCTCAGAGAAACACAACAAACTATTTCCGTCCACGTCCGTTCTATTCGAGTGGATTCCCGTCGCCGTTTTACGGAAAGGAACAGGGGGACGGACTCGGTGGCTCGTCACCGCCGGGAGTCAAGTCAACGCAACGGCTCTCCGAGGCAGGCGAGATTCGGAAGGCAGTGCGCGAGCCACGCGTACAAGGGGTAGGTGGGGCCCAATGGTTGCCAAGTTGCGCATTTTTTTCTTCTCTTTCATATATCTTTTGGTGGTGGGGAACACTGAAAGCGGAAAGTAACGACTACGCTACTACTTGCCACGTGTCGTGATGCAGCGAGTTGGTACGCGTGTCGGGTTCTGTACGGAGGAATCGTTCTAGCTGTATTTTCTCTCCTCTTGTTGGAGGATGTGCACAGCCAGTTTTTTTTTTTTTTTTTAATTAACGTTTTTAAGGAACACAGATACGAGTAGATAAACAAAGAATCACAAAATTTGAGAGGGTAATCTCATATTTAAATTAATTCTTGGATTGTTGATGGTAAGACAGCCTAATTGGTAAAAAAGCTGGGTTTTGAGTTTGGGATGTGACAAGGTCCAAGGTTCGAATCCCAGTACCATCTTGTTGGTGTTCCCGGAGGCACTTTTGGTACAGGAGACGGAGTCTCCCCGATAACGGCAGCACAACGCCGGACACTGCGCCGTAACAAAGTCCTTGATGATTAGTATGCAGGTACCCTCAGGTTTAGTAGGCCCCGTTGTCACTCATGTGACATGTGGGTTGCTGATGTTCCTGTGTTATAAAAAAAATAATTCTTGGATTTAGAGATAAGACATAGGGTGAACCTTTTTAAATAAATCTTTATACGGAAAAGATGCATGATTTATAAAGAATATTAAAAATTTCCTGCAACGAGAGTGAAAGTAGGAAGGACATTTTGGTCTTCACAATTACTTTTTTTATTCATTAAAAAGATACGTATTGGGATTTGAACCATGATCATTTTAAACAAAGGCAAGGATCATAACCAATCACACTAAGTACATTTGTTGTATCCTTTTAAATTAAAAACATATAATAGCAGGGTGGAAAAAACTCTTCCCCCATTTCAAATTCCCTGCTCCAGGAGCGTTTGTAGGAAGGGTAGAATAGGGAGTGTCAATTTTTTTCTCTTTCCTCTGTGGAACGGGCCAACTTACCGTACACATGCGGATTTAAACGGGTCCAGGAGTGTCAATTGTTTTCTTTATACCCTTTTATTTCTCCGTGGTGATAAAATATATATGAAAAGGAAAAAATACTACTCCATTTTACTGTTAAAAATAAAAAAAATTAACAATAAACTAATGCATGGTATCTAATGGGCTAACCGCTAACCATAAAATAAAAGAGTTGAATGAGTCTGACCTACATGGGATTTGGCAATCAAGTAAAACAAATGAACATCATTAGTTTGTCATTCTAAAACAAGCTATTTTCTCTGGCATAATATATATTATGCTATTATTTTATATCTTAGTGGCTAAAATATAATGTATTTTAAAGTTATTCAATGGTTCAACCTCGACCAACCCAATTAGTCCAATTTTTATCATTTCAAATATATATTTTATAATTATTTGACATCATAATGATCAAATTATAGTGTATTTTATAGAGAATCGTTTGGTATTTGTTAGTAAAAAACTAAACATAAAGATCTATTTGGTTATTTTAAACATTAAAACGATCCTAAACATTTTCAGTTTCTTTTGAATTTCTATGGTTATATTCCCGAATAAGTGATGTGCAAATGGCGAATTGTAGTCGTCTCTTTTCTTTCACTATTTTTTATTTTCAAATAGAAAGTTTAAAAGTAAAGAATAATTAGAATTTGGCATGGATCGGTCAAACAGGCTGAATTTCAAGTTTTGGCCCGTTTGTTTTATGCATTGCAAATTTATTAGCATGTTGATGGAAATGGCTTGGAAAAAAGACATATAAGTTGTACCTTTGCAGAAATGTCCTCAAATGTTTGAATGTTTTGTGAATCAGGTTCCGTGACTTTTGTGATGGTGTATGTGCTTGACGATTGCTCGATGTTGTAACTACTTAATTTGAGAGTAAATCTTTTGATTTTCCCTATGAGTTGTGATACCAGTTCTGGTGGTTGCAGCATGTTGTCGTTGTTGGCCTGTAAAAGTTGTTCCGCCGTGATGCTAAATACCTTTCTTTCCTTTTTAACAAATTGTGTATTAGTGCTATGAAACAGACCACCCATGAACGCTACGCTTATTATGGTATGTTCTTACTTCCGGTGGTGAGAAATTGTGAATTGAGAATCATATTCGCCTACCGCACTGTGTCTGGCTGGTGGCTGCTTACTGTGCTCTCTAGAGTTATGAAAAGACTACCCATGAACGTTACCCTTAAGAGTCCATAACTTTGCGAAAAACCAAATTTAGGCAATCAAAGGTGGTGGATGTGTGAAGATTTTTTATGGCTTAATTGTTTGTGAATTGGATATCTGATCTTTGTATGATTAGAGGGGATGTTTGCTTAATAGAATAATCCATTTTAATTCATGTTTATTTTTAACATGAACTTTAGTAACTCAAAACCTTCGAGAGACATATCACCTACTGTATTGTATCATTTTGCCTGGGTGCTTGTTGTGTTGTCAAACTTCTTTGCTGCTGCTGCATTTACACTAACAGGGGAGTTAAAACTCATGAATGTTTCCGTTTGACACAAACAAGAGGACTTACTTCTAAATCGTGCACTAAAGATGATTGGAGGAAACATCTCTATTGCAGTTGATATACTGTAGACCATAACAAAAGCAACGTATAACATCAAAACCAACCATCTGAACTATTAGCATTGTTGCTTTACTCTTTTTTCGTGGTTGAGTCTCCTTCAAAAAATTTAGTTTGATTTTAGAAAATTTTGCTTCTGCAGTTCTGTCTTGCCACCAACGCGTTCAGTAGATGGAGATGGCAGAGGCGAAGGATATTTTTCTATTGTTGTTGCTGGTTTAGGGATCGGTTTGTGAAGAAGAGGGAGAAGAGAGGGGGAAAGGGAAATGCAGGAGAGGGGGATAACTCTTTTCTCCGACAAAAATGGAGTGAAGAAAGGAATTATGATCAGTAAGGATATGGTTATCTTACATAACGGTCTCTATTCTGTTTGAATTGAGCTTGGGAGGCAGTGATAAGGACGAGTTGCAACCAATTCATAGTGATAAGAGTGCTATGAACTGTGATCATGTCTTATTTCAAGTTAGAAGGTAGTTTCAGTATAAGGATTATTTAATTTGACAAGTTGTTTCGTCCATGATTCTTGGTAGTTTCAGTGCCATTCTAGCCATTGTTTAGTCTGTAATTTTTTAGAATTGATGTGCGAGTAATGACTTTCACTTAGCTTCAACTATTATGTGTGTATTTATTGGCATATGATAGAATTCTCTTTTCCTTTTCTTTGAATTCAGTTTCATACTCTAATTGTATCATTTGTACATAGGCAAATCATGCTCGAGATGACAACTCGCTGATATGGCTGGTGCAAAGGAATGAAGCCATCATTAGAATTCAGACCGACAACGGGGAGGGATGCCCAGGACTAATTCAATGATGATTGATGATGGTATAATAAAAACTGCAGTCTGCATCAGCACCAATTTCTAGGCCTAAGTAAAGTTATTCAACCCCAGAACTCTGCTTAGCACTAAAAATTGCCCTCACCCAACCTTGATCCTGTTTGACCCACTTCTGAAGAGTCAAGATATATGACTAATCCTCTCCATTCATATTTTCTTATTGACTCTTTCTGGCCCTTTATGTTGGGGCG